TAAACGAAATTCAAACAATTTAGCTAGTTAGGTAGGTATGTTAATAATAATAATAATAACAAGAAAGAAAAAAAAGAGTTACTCGAGGACGATTCGAAATTCGGCGGCAAGGCGGAAACAGACCCTCGGGAGAAAAACGAGAAAAACCGAAAAAAAAAGAAATCTTGACGATCGCGCGTTTCTGAGGAGCTCTATTTGAGTACGCGACCTCGTACAACCGAAGAAAAAACGAAAAGGAGAAAAAAAAAATAAAGAAAACCCACTGACTATCGTGAACCACGGAACTGAAAGATCCACGTGTCTTAATCCCACAATTTTCCGCCAACTGCGAGGACTTCCTCCTTCGGTTATTATATTTCTTATCAGACTCAAGGCCAAAAGACAAATCATTAACGCGAAGTCTTCGCAGATAGTCGAAGATATACCGTTTCTATTGTTCGACTTTGAATCCTTCTATCGCGGCACTTAGACAGTTGGATATTTTTATAAAAGATCAACCGTATGCGCCAGTATGGTGTCGTCTGGTGCTGTTGGGCGTGTCTCGATCTCGCGATCAAGGGGAGAAGATAGAAAAATACCGAAAAAAGCGAAAAAAAAAAAAAAAGAAAAGAACAAAAAATAGACAGAGAGGAGCCGCAGATCGAACAAATCATTTATCCAGCAACACAGGTCGACTCCAAATCAATCGTGTGTCGAGTCTACCGTGGTTTTTAACTTATACCTTAGATTTTTATAAAAATACGAATACCATAGAACCAAAGAAAAAAAAAAAAGGGAAAAATCTCGACTTTAAAACGCTTAAGCAATAAATCATTAAGCTTAGGAAAGGAGGAGAAGAAAAAAAAGAAACGAGCCGTTTATCCCTGTGTCTCTCTGCTGTATAAACTCGCTCTCGGCTAATTCAGCTTGCGAGCCACGAATTCGTAACAACGAAGGATACGTAAGATTGGGTGGAGAAATGAGAGAGAGGAGACGTGAGTTTTAAAGGAAAGGAGAGGGGAAAAGAAAAAGGGAAACGAATCCGACGAGATAGGAGAGAAGGAATGTTGGTCGATTAACAACCGGTCTGCCCGATGTCCCGAATTTCGACTTGGCCACAATCTAATGAAGCAAAAGAATTAAAAAAAAAAAAAACGTAATAATAATAAAACGCGAAAACCCAGTGCGAGTAACCGAACGTGTGTAGGTATTGCGTGCGTGCACGTACAAAACGGAGAGAGTGCGGACAAAAAGAAAAAAAAAAAATAGAAAGAAAGCAGAGAGGAGAAAGAAGTAGAGCGAGAAAGAGAAAGAGGAGAGAGCGCGGCGTGAAAGCAATGAGAATTATAATATACAAGCGAGAGACGAGAAAGAAATTAAACAATTCGTAGATAGACACATTGCACAAACAGCACGAAAAATTTAGATTAGTGATGCGTTCAGTTCCTTCCTCGCGAATGCGTTATCCTGTCCTCCGATTGACAATTCTATCAAAAGGTTGCCTTTTGTCTCACAAATTAATTCCGTCGTATCAAAAAAAAAAAGAAAGAAAAGTAAATGAATATCCTGCGAGCCTTTAAACCGTCGATAGTAACGAAAACCAAAAGAAAAAAAAAGAAGAGAAACATCATTACAGAAGAACGGATTAGGGGGATTGGGGAAAAAATGTACGCGAAGATCAACAACGTTTTAGGAAGTATAACGAGAAACGTAGTAATCCCCGTCTGATTTGCCTATCTATCGTATTCCCCGCCCGCTTTTAGACCTTCGTATAAACCCATCTATTCTTACTCGAAGCTTCGTCTCTTTCTGTTTCAAGCACGATCCGATGCTTCGTAATCGTACTTCCCTCTGTACTTGGTCGTTCGCTCGCTTCAAATCATCCCCCTTTGCTCCCCCATTCTCTATGCTCGTGTTTTCTACGGTGTCTTTCAATAATGAAACCGTTTCATCATTCGCGCGAGATCCACGGAGTTTCGTCGTGACACGACGAAACCGGTGGGATTTAGGCGAGCGAGAATCGAATTAGCGAGAATAGAGAAAAGTAGGAAAGGGGACGTGAGCAGGGATTAGAGGAAAAAGGAACGAGTTAAGGAAACGGGGAAAAATGGAGGACTTTGTTATTAATCAAAAGATAGACGGATCGTGCTTGAAACGAATCGAGAAGCGTTCGATGTTTTCGAATCGAAAATTGTGATGAAAAAAGAAGAAACGGAGAACGAGAGAGGGACGTTTGCGAGACGCTCTGAAGTTGAAGAGATAGAGGAACGCGATAGGAAATCAAAAAAAAAAAAAAGAGAAAAAAAATATAACAAAATAGCCCCGCTTGGGACGATGTAGTAGCGTTTAGGGAATAAATCGGTAAATTTTGCTACTTTTTCCGAACGACTCGATACGTAGAACGTGGACATGGATATAAAAGGTGTGCCTTCAGTCCATCTCGCGGACCACAAATATTTCGTGCCATTAATTCCTCGTAAACTAATACTGTTCTATTCGGCAAGTGTGCGAACGGAGGAAACGTTTCCCACGCCTGGAACATAAAACTTAAGTAATGTAAATTTCACGATTACGCGTAATTCGATAATCTCTTATAGTGTCTTCCCAGTACGAAAAAAAGAAACATCTTCTCGGAAAGAAAAATTCGATGTTGAGAAACGTGTGGCGAAGGGTGTTTGTGCTAAATTTATTGCGATTGAACGATGTTAATTCTTTCTTCTTTCTTCCGTTTTTTACGAAATATCGTCGACGTTTATACGTTTCTCTTTTCAAAAAGGCAGATCTTCTACGCTTTTCGAGTACGGAGATAATTCTGTTTACTCTTTTCCGGAAGAATTTATCGAGGCTTGGTGTTTTTTTTCGTTTCTAGTAAATTCATTCGTGCCAATAAGTTAAGACGAAGTTTTTCACAAATGAATCAAAAGCAAGCTGTACAACGGAGGTATATTTCTACCGTGTTATCTGAAACATAAGAACTCGTGGCCCAACAACACACCACCGATACATATTTCACTGTGTATGTCCGTCAATTGTTTTATAATCGCGCGCGAGAGACGACGTCGTTTGTAGACAGAGTTACGCGACGAAGAAAATATGAAGTACAACGAACTAGAAAGAAGAAGAAAAAAAAAAAGAGAAAAATACAAAATTCAGTCGGTACACCCACCGAAGAGAACTGTGAACGCGAAACTATTGGTAATTTCAATATACACACACACGTACACGCATGTATACACAGAAATTGTATAACGAGTTCGATTTCTCGGGAGAAGGAAACGAAAGAAAACCTAGTGAAATTACGCAGCCTAAAGGACACGGTACCGATCGCGAGGAAGAAACAAAAAAAAGAATTATAAATAAATATATACATACATATAAATACATAACTAACGTGCAGCGGCGACGAGAGCTGTTATTTTGAATCGTCGTGAACGGTGAAAGGATAAGCGCTGTGCGTGAGAGAGGATAAATAGGTAACTCTTAAGAAATGACATAAGAACATAAGTGAAACAAAAAAAAAATATCGTGTACATTATTAGTTAGGTGAACAAACGACAACAACAACAACAACAACAAAAATATATAAAAATATAGGTTATTTTTCTGAAAAGTGGAACGAGCGAGGTGAGTAAAGGGGGCAAAATGGCGGGGGAAGAAGGAAA